GGTGAGCCGGTGGCCGGGCGGGGCGGGATGAGGCCTGGGTGGGGCGCGGCGCGGCGCGGGAGGCGGGGGCGTACCTCGTGGAGCATGAGCGGGCAGCCGGCGTACCGGGCGCGAAAGGCCCCGGCGATGGCGGCCGGGCAGGCGTCGGCGGCCGGGGGCAGGACCCGGAGCCGGGCCGCGGCCAGGGGCTGGAGCGCGGCCAGCGGCACGAGCACCGGCGGCGGGCCGCCCCCCGGGGCCAGGGCCGCGGCATCGGCCGGGTGCAGGCGCGCCCGTGTGGGCGACGTGCAGCCGGTGTCCGGGCTGGCCGGGAAGGGGTCCGTCAGTTGGTTGGCCGGCAGGGCGCGGGGACGGGGCAGGGGGAGGATGTGCGCACCGGAGCAGCACAAAGTGCCGGTCCTGGGCCAGGTACACCGGGCCCGGCGGGCGGATGTCCAGGTCGGCGGCCACCCGGGCAAAGGTGTCCTGCGAGACGAGCAGCCGGCCCGGGGTGCAGGCAGGGTCGATGTCCGGCTGGAGGAAGGCCAGCGTGTCGGCCGGGCGCCGGGCCCGGGCCACGGTCAGCACCGGCGGGTCGGCCACGCCGCCCGGGCCGAGGAACGACACGAGCACCTGGCGCGTGGCCAAGTCCGCCGTGGTGATGATGCCCCGGCGGACCGCGGCCCCGGTGTGGTCGACCAGGTGGGCAATGAGGCCGGCCTGGGCGTTGTCCAGGTGCACGGGCTGGCCGGGGCGCCGCGGGCATGGGTGCGTGAGTGCGTGAGTGCATGTGTGAGTGCGTGAGTGCGCGAGTGCATGTGTGCGTGAGTGCATGTGTGTGTGTGTGTGTCTGTGCTTTTCTGGGCTTGCGCATTTCTGCGTGTGCGCGCGTCTGAGAGGCGGGGATGGCCCCGGCGTACCTGTCCCTGCTCGAGGGGCACCCCGGCGAGGGCATGGCCGAGGCCGCGGCCCGATGCGGCCGGCGAGTCCATGACCCCGGGCGAGTGGACATGGATCAGCACCATGGACAGGGCCGGGGGCGGGGCGGCCGGGCGCAGGACCGGGGGCCGGGCGCGCTGCCGGGCCAGCAGGACGGCCAGGTCGTCCGGGTGGGCGATGATGCCGGGCGCGGGATCGTGCGACCCGGGGAGCGGGCTGTCGTCGGGCCGCGGGGAGGCCGGGCAGGGCGGGCCGGTCAGTGTCGGGGGTGCCGCCACCGGGCGAACGGGCGGGCGGGCGGGCGGGCGGGAAAAGCGAGCGGGCCGGCTGGGGCCCGGCAGGCAGAGGATGGCCGAGGCGCCCTCGGGCGGGTGCGCGCGCGCGCGCGCACCGGAGAACATAGTGGCGCCCGGCGTGGCGGAGGTAGGGCTCCGGGGCGGCGGGGTGGCGGGCCGGCGGCAGCAGGCCCGGCGGCACGTGGAGGACGCCGCGCGGGGCCAGGTCCGGGGGGCGGGCGGCCGCCTGCAGGCAGAGGCCCCGTACGGTGGTCCCGAGCAGGCGGCACTCCAGGAAGTCCGGGGCGCCGGTGAGCTGGAGCCGCGGCTCGGCCGGGGCGAAGTGGAAGCGCGTGCTCGGCAGGTGGATGCCGTGGCGGAGGGGCCCGGCCGGGGCGCCGGCCGGGCCGCCGAAGAGCGCCTCAAACTCCAGGGTCACGGCTTGGGCGCCGGCGCGCGCGGCCCGGGCCTGGCCCACGCGCAGCGGGAGCCCGATGTCGCCGATGCGCAGGGCCTCATAGGGGATGTCCACGGGGCCGGGCTCGGCGGGGGTGACGCGCACCCGGGCCATGACCACCGCCGGCAGGTCGGTGACCAGCTCGAGATGCTGGACGGCCGGCGCGGGGCCGAGGTCGCCGGCGGGCGGGGAAAACACGCGCCCGAGGTCGGCGGCATGCATGAGGAAGCAGCCCTCGGCGGGGGGGTGCTTGCGACTGGCGTTGGGTCTGGGCGTGGGCGTGGGCGTGGGGTTGGAGCAGG